GGGGTGGGAGGGGTTAAACAAAACATTGGGGGTAAAAGATGAAAATGGGTAGAAATCAATGTGCTAACTTCTCTCTTGTTTATGATGCTTTTTTTCTAGTCGGGTCAAGACAGGAAAGGTGCATGGGGTGATCCATATGGACCCAAGAGTCCTAATCTATTAACACCAACAACAGATCGACTAGGCGGCTCTGTACAAGTAGTAAGCTCAACTAATGGGGATTTAGGACCAGGTGATGACCAGGGCAAGTCTGGGGCACCTCTTAACACTCAGCCTGAAGTAGAAGTGGTTGAAGAAACCAAGTATGTAGTAATACATCTTATTTATTTCTTTATAAGAAGGGCAGGAAGCTTGGATATATCAACATGAAACTGGGGCTAGTAGTCCTTTCAGAAATTTGTGGTCAAACTCTCCTTAGCAACCGTTGCTATACCCCCAAGCTTGGAAATTTAGAAAGAAATCTTATATTTAAAAACCTCTCATGTTATAAAACTTTAAAATATGTATTGAAAAAAATTCCCTGCGGTAAGAATTGAACCCATGACACTCCGGATACCAGTCGGACAAGAGTCTTTCCTGATAGCATCCAACTGGTATCTGGGAGGTCATGAGTGTCTATAATGTATTGAATGATATTTGCTAATGTCAGTGTTTTTCATATCCTTGGCTTGCACGTTACGTCATGGTCGCCATATGTTGGGGTTACTCATTAGTTTCTCATTAGCTTCCATTGTTAATACCACCAATATGGCCTCCATGTCCTGGCTAGCCTCGCATTCAGCCAAGCACTTCAGAATGAGTTCGAAAGGGCAGAAACCAATGCTGTTATCCTAATGGAATAATCATGACTGCTGCTTGCAAAAGTTTTTTCCCCATCTGGCATTGTGGTGTATTGAAAGTTCCATGGTACCCTACTCAAAACCAGGGTATATCTGGTGTATTTGACTTTTTGTCACATCTTTTTAGGTGCTGTTGTTTCTTCAAGCGAAGAAAGAAAAAGAAACTACCTGTAGCCAGGCACAAATGATGCTCCAGTGATTTCGCCTAATTTTACCCAGTTTTCGGTACGCTTCAGGCCACCTCTTCCTTTTCTTTCCTCAAATAAATCAAACTAAAGACTGAAAAAAAAAGGCTTTCGGTCTCCAGGCCCGTAAAAAATGCCACTTGGGAATATCAAGGGTACTGCGCCGGCGCTTCAAGTGTCCAGCGGTTGCATTAGTCGCTTCAGATTCGTCTCATCTTCTCTCCTGCGAGAGCTCGAAAAGGAAGAGGTGGCCATGGTCTCGCGAACTGTGGATGTACTGAACTACGTTTGGGTCTGATAATTCCTGTTCAAAACGTCAAGTGGACCAACTCTATGCACCAAGGTTTTGTAGGAGTCATTTTTATATGAACAGAACAAACAAAAAAGTTAATCTTTAAAGCCACATTGGCCGTCATTTTCCTTCCACGTCGAACAACGCATACATGCAAGTATGTGCAGGACTTGTTGTCTGCATTTGCTACGGTGGAATCGAATATTTAGAAATGAATGGGCGGGCCTTTTATAGTAGCGTAGTTAGAAGTTCATTACCTTGGCGCTAGACCGCCTCCGTGTTGCCAACCTTTATTTTCAAGTTAGTAAATCTTCTTAAGTTCAATATTTTTTTTACATTAATAAATGAATCATGGTTAGGCCTCACTAAGCATGAAAAGCGGCAAGTTTTACGATAACGAACAAAAATCAATTCGGATTTCCTTTGTTTCCTTTCCAAAGCTCCATTTCCAGGGAAAGAGTGAAGGAGAGAGGGAGTATGTCGGAAGAATTTCAAAATTGCTTCGCGTTAATATCTTATAACGTGTTTACCACAATCTCCTTTTCCAATTTCGAAGAATGAATGTTGATGATTTCGTCCTACAAGGGATTGTGGGGCTTATGTTTGGGATTCCTGTACAAATACGATGACCTTGACGAACTAATTGACAATCCCTAGTATAATTTCCCACTTCCATTTCTGTTTCTTCTTGCAGGCCTCCCGAGTGTTTACAGTCACTCGAGTTTCCTTTTAGATCCACAAATTCAGCCCCACAAGTTAACAAAAGGCGAATTCATCAAAGTCTTTCTTTGAGTCTGACAAAAAGGAAATCAATAGACCCATTCAGCTTTGGCGTAAAGTTTTTACACTTCAGACCACGTTTTGTTCCCTTAGTTATGGTTTCTTTGTTTACTGGAGAATATTAATTGCCCACTTTAAAAGCGAGTTGAAGACTGGGAGTTAACTTGCCATAATTCAAAAATAAACACCTTAACGAGAAAGTGTACATCAAAATTAGTAAATTTCTGGATTTTTAAGAGATTGGGTTTAGTAATACATTTTGTGTAGCAACCTCCCAACATCTCGGAAATTACAAAGAAATGTATGGTTACTGTGAACGCTTGTCCTTAGGTAAAAACACATGTAATTTTTGACGTTTTTGATTGATTATCATTTAGCTGTTCGGCTTAGCCAGTCGAAGACATTGCAGGAACCTATTAATTTTGATGTGCTCTTTCTCGTGATGGGAATCATTTTTTTGGTAGATTAATTCTTAATACTCGTTCCCATTCCTCCACTCATTTCTAAAGTGGGCAATTTGGATATGGCTCCTAATCAAACAAAGAATCTTATATCCAGGTGGAAGTGCTATAAGATGGAAAAGCGTTTCTGTATGGGTCTATATAAGGAGGCCCGGAGATCAGTTCCCTGGATCCTCATAGTTCATTGTGTCTGATCACTTCGCTTGTACATGCCAGCCATCCCTTGTAAATACATTCCCGATCACGAATGATAGATTGTTTCCTTCATACAAGCCTTTTGTAGCGCTTGTATGTATGGTTTTATGATAAGCGCGTTAGTGTTACCCAAGAAAATTAACAATACAATGAAGAAAATCCAAATATATTTATAACTGATATACCTCTAAATTGTTAGTTGTAGTTAGGGTCGCCCATTCATTACTGAAAAATATCATTGTTCAGTTAAAAGCCTTGAGAGACATTTTACATGCGGGACAACGATAACCACGCCCGCAAATATTTTTTTTAAGAATATCTGTCATTTCAATCGTCGACTTATCAGATTTCCATTTCAGAGTACAGATTTGATGGCCATTTATAGGATTAGCCTAAAGCCCTGTTATACGTATTGAACTTTTTTGTACTACTTGCGTCGCAGGAAAAAGTCATTGAACTTTTTTTGTACTACTTGTGTCTCGCGACTTTTCTCATATCTGCTAGCTTCTAGAAAAAAGTCATTATTATTAGTATTTTTTTAGTTTCGGTTTCGAGTTATAAAGATTTCATAAGAAAGTAAAAATAATTGGTTATTGCTAGGCAGCTTTGTTTCGCGCCGGGCGCAAGTTGCATGGAAAAAGTCAAAATCCCAGGGCTAAATATTTACGAGTTGTTTTTAACCATTTAGTATACTTAACCGATTTTCAGGCACCGTGTCGTGAGATTCTGGTGAAAATCGAACTGCGCACGTTTAAGAAAAATTGATGGAAATGGCAGGCGCGTATAAGAAAAATATGCCAAATTTTTTATCTCTTAGACCGTTTTCTCAAATTTGCGTGCGCATCCAAATTTAATTAAATTTTACAAAATTTGCGTTTTTCAATTTTGTGGACCGTCAAGTTGGATGCGCACGCAACCTTGAGAAAACGGTCTATTGCTTTTTTCGCGTGATTTTCTTTATGTAATATACAGCAATTTCGAAAAAGGTTGAATACTGCATATTGAATAGGGAATTGTGGGTCATAGTGACATTGTCTAAAGTAGGATTAATTATAATTATTGATTCTATTTTTAGTGTATTCCATCTGAAAAAAATATACTGACTGCATGTAGAGAGTTAATTGTTGTATATTTACTTTTATTTCAAATTAACGAGACCTACAATGCCCTTTGGTCTTGGAATGCACTATTCAGTATGCAGTATTCAGTATTCAACCTTTTTTGAAATAACTGTATCAAGCATGGAAAAGAGTATTTCATCCGATTTCCGAACACCGAGAAGTGAGTGGAAAAAACTAGCCGGTTTTTTTCTAACCACCTTGGAGGTATTTGGATAAAGGATGAAACACTCTTTCGAGTGCTTGATATGGCTTCTCAAACTAGTAATAATTCTTGGAAAAATTCAAAGTTTCCTCATGAATTATTAATGTATTTGAGAAATGTGATTTGAAGTGCGGGCATTCCGAGTACATGTAGCTCAGAACGAATGTTCAATATGTTTAAAGGTGACTTTTGTAGCCGGCTTTTTTCTTGTCGCGTATCGCGATGCATGACTCGGCTTTGAAGGCCGAAAACGTTAGTGTGTTCTGGGTTTGTTGCAATCTCTTTCCCAGATCCTTTATCTCTTACTTTGCATACAATTATTTCGTCGAGCATGCGCAGTAAAAAGGATTATGTTTACGAGATTTGGTTTGTCGTGGTTTTCCTAGCATGCGCAGTATGGTATTTATCAGTTTTTCTCATGACGCATTCCTACAATGGTCAATGGATCGAGTCGAAACATTGCATGTTGATCACATAACACAAATGAACACTATTAAAGATATTGATGATATCAGATATTTGATAATATATTTCTTTTATAAAACTTATCCAAGTCTTTCAGAATTTAATTCCTATTCTCTAAGGCCCACTTTCGCTTTACCTTCCCAAAGCCCTTATTTCTTACTATGCATCGGTCGACGAAATAGTTGAGCCTATCATTTCGTCGAGCGTGCGCAGTTAGAAATAAGATCTCTGGAAACAAGATTGGAAGCGACTATTATCATGGAGTGCTGAGTCGGAATATTGAGGCAAGTATAGCTCCCTTTACTTCCGGAAAAGGACGTTGGAGTTTTTTGAAAAGTTTAAGCTACGATAGAGGTACATTCATATCAATGCAGACACATTCAAGGGAATGCAACAATGGAGTTTGGGATGTGAATGAATGTCTAGAATATTCATAAACACTGCATGTGCACAGATCAAAATTCCTTCTCTAAACTTACTAGTATTTGGCCAATTTTCTTTTTTTTCTGCTGGCTCTTCCTATATTTGATCGTTGTTTCTCTGCCCCCCCCCCCCCCCCCCCATTCGTCTTTTTAGAGCAAGTTCTCCCTTCTCCCTGGTCCGTTCGTCTCCGTTCATCTAGGAGACTGGGTACAAGAGTAGTGACGTCATGTTGTCTTATTGGTCGTTACTATAGCAACACATCCAACATTTTCTTCAAAGTAGGAGAGAGCGCTTCAGTTTGACCTGCGCCTCTGAAAACTCCACAATTTCTCCACTTTTATCATAAAAAATACCTAAAAAATTATTGCAATTTGCCAAAATGTCCATGTCTACGAGCTATAGATATGAAGTAGAAAGACCTGCCGCTCAAAATTTAAGAAAGGCTTTGAAAAGACAAGAACAACGAATCAAGGTAAGATCGACAACAATGGCTGAGTAGCTTTGGTTCTAGTTTATCTTTTGTTTATCAAATGATAATCTCATTTTATTGTTGTTATACCATTTATCTTTTGTTTTCAATTCCCTGGAGCTAATTAAAACGATCTAGGAAGATATTGAGCTCCGTGAACGAGCTATTGTCTTGGAAGCTTCCCGCCATGTTTTTGTCTTTTGTTATTGAAAATCCGCCTTAAAACTTAACTTTAATCTGACATTTGAATTCTTTTATATCTTGGCCTTAAGTTAATTTCTTAGTATAATACAAACCATTTATTAAGTTTCAAAATTCCTAAAAATTTAAAGGCAATCAAATAAACTTTTATAGAATATGTCAAAGAGTTAGCACACGTAAATAACTATGAAAATGTTAATTCAATTATGTAATTAGCCAATATAAATGCTACTTTGACTCTCAGCATCTGAATATTATCAATTTGTGATTGCGATTCAGAAATGATGAATCACTCACTAGCATATTTTTAAAGTTTTGATCAAAAGTGTTGGATATTATAGCTAGTCCATTGTGCTCCTAAAAGACCTTTCCCCAATTTGCTTTAGTGACCATGAAAGTTTGTGTTGAAGCTGAGGCTAAACTTGACGTAATCCGACATTAATTTTATTTTATCAAGTGCAACCTCAACTGGAGCCATTGTTTTGTGGACACTTGAGCAAATGTGGGATAGGTCTCACGTAGACTGAACTCAATGAATTCAAAGAAGTAAGAAGAAATAAGAGAACGAAATAGTAGTGATGCTCATATCTTATGAACCTTAGCTTTTTGCATTTTTTTGATGCATGCACAGTTGAACTGCCATTAAGTATGCACACCTGGGCCTGGTCTTTGAAATGTGGATAGCACTATGTGGCGAATAAATCCTTATCCAGTGGATAAATCGATGCTGTTATCCAATAAATTTATAAGGTATATCCATCAAATAGCGCTGTCCAACCTTTGTACAACCGGGATCAGGCTGATAAATTAGCCTCTGTTACTTGGCAGTCTGCAGTTGCTGTGATGTGCTTCCCCCCTGCCTCTTCCCCTTTCTTCTCTCACAACAACATAATCATTTATTCCAAACAAAATTATCTGTGTGAGTTTCTCCAAATTTTTACACACCATAAAGCATTGCTTGTAAATCAGGGAATGATACTCAAGAAAAAAAATTGGAAGGGGTCGACGTTACTAATTCTGGTCCATTTAAACTTTTCATTGATACAATATGGCAGTATGATGAGTGGTGTTCAGAAAGGGATGCAGCAGTTAATAAGTAAGTCACTTTTAATAGTTTTCCTATTAATGACTTTAAAGTGATAACTTTTCACATCTTATCGATGTACCAATCTTGGGTCAGAGGTTCTAGAAAACAACAATACATGTGAGACTAGAAGTTATTGGGTCTATTCCTATATTAAATAGTTCTTCTCCACCCACAAATCCAAAATTAGTTAAGGCTTTATTTACTAAGATCCTGGGGGGGGGGGGGGGGGGGGTACTACCACCCCAACTTGGGTAGGGGTGTTCCAGGATCTCAAAACCCTGACCCTATCCCAGCCCTAAAATTTTGATTTTACATACCCTACCCCAGACTAAAATTAAGAATCGTACACCCTATCCCAGACTTAAACACAGAAAAGACGATTATTCAATACATTGCAATCAATATTTACTAAAGTTTTTATTGTTTTGGTGCTGGCAGAAAGTGTAGCCTATTTGCCAGACAAAAACGACCAAATCCTTAATCCTATCCTAAACTAAAACAACCAAATCGTAACCCTATCCATACAAAAATGATACCCTATCCCAGACTACAATGACCAAATCGTTAACCCTATCCCAGACAAAAATGACACCCTATCCAAGACCAAATGTCAAAAAATGATACCCTACCCCAGACCCAAAAGCCGAAAAACCATACCTCATAAGGGGGCACATACCAGTATAGCAAATATTGGGGAGTACCCCTTCCCCCCCCCTCCCAGGCTAAGATCATCCCAGGGCTAAAAAAGTAATGGCCCATCAGTCACCTGTTATCATCAAAAGCCAAATTAGTTTTAGCTTAGTCATACCTCAATTCTGGCTAAATGTTACTGGTCACAATGACCTGCAAGGCAAAGATTTGACCGGAGAAACCCCAGTCCTGATTGGACATTGTCCAATGTCTCATCATCAATTAAAGCCTTGCAACCTGGAGGGTCCAAGTTGATGCTATCATGTGTTATGATATTGAAAACAACCTCTCTTCTGATTGGCCAACCATAACAGGGTCAACCAATCACAAACATGTAATTGTAGAGAAATTAAAAGTTAACTGCTGTTTGTTTGATTAATGAACGTCAGAGAGATCTTAGTAAGATTTGAACCTTATCAGAGGTATATGATATAAGGCTTTATACATCAAATTCTTTTCTTTTAGTGATATCCTAGTGAACCAGATTGCAGAATGGGCAGAAAAGCTGGAGGAGGTGAGTTACATACTGTTTGATTAAAAAAACTGACCTTCTTTATGACTTGTTAATGCAACTAAGCACTGATACACTTGTACACTGGGTCAACCCTGAAAGTTGGTGTCAGGTGGAGAAGGAATTGAAGGGGTAGGATTTTATGAAGTTGCTGCAGTTAATGCAACTTTCACCACCCTTTGATATTTTGTTTATTCTTTGTTTGTTTGCTGATTTTATATTTTATCAAACTTGTATGCCTCAGTCTTTTTT